AACATAATTTCGTATGATTTTAGATTCTTTTAAAATTGTTATTAGGACCTAAGATATGGTCTGTCCTTGCTAAGTGTTCCATGTGCACTTGAAAAGAATGTGGTTTCTGCTGATATTGTTCAGTTTTGTATCCTTGCTGACTTTCTACTATTGTTATCTATTACTGAGAGAGTGTTGAAATCTCCAACTATAATTATGGATCTGTCTCTTTTTCCTTTTGGCTCTGTCAATTTTTGTTTCATGTATTTTGAAGCTCTGTGGTTGGGTACATAAATACCTATGATTGTTATGTTGTCTTGGTGAATTGACCCTTTTATCATTAAATAGTGTCTGTCTATAATTTCTGGTAATTTTCTTTGCTCTGTAGTACTTGGTCTGATATTAATACCTTATATAACCAATCTGCTTTCTTTTGATTAGTGTTTGCATGGTACATCTTTTCCATTCTTTTGAATTTTTCTTGAAGTACAGTTTTTAATCTACTTCTACCATTATATTTAAAGTAAATTTCTTGTAGAGAGCATATAGCGATTTATGTTTCAATTTTTCTGAAAATCTCTGTATATTGGCATATTTAGACCATTTGTATTTATTTATATGTTTGGATTTAGATCTGCCATTTTATTGTTTTTGTTATGAGTTCTCTCTTTTCTTCTTTTTCCCTTTTTCTGCCCTCTTTTGGATTTCTTGAATTTTTTTAGTATTCTATTTAAACTTATCTATTGTGTTTTTTGACTAATATTACTTTGGATAGCTTTTTTAGTGGTTGCTCTAGAGATTACTCTAAGCATTCTTAAACTTCTACAGTTTATTTTAAATCAATATTTTCCTAATTCAAATGGAATGTAGAAAACTTATCACCACTTCTATCTCTTTACCCTCTACTCTTTCTGTTACAGAGGTCTTACAAATGACAAAATCCATCAGATAATGTTGTCTATTTTGCTTACAACTATTATACATATTTTTAAGAAGTTAAGAGGAGAACAGTGTCTTATATTTACTTGGATATGTATCATTTATCTTGCTCCTTCTTGACTCCTCATGTTCTAAATTTCCATTGGTATTATGTCCTTTCCACGTCTTTTAGCATTTCTTTTAGAGCTGATCTGTTGACAGTTAATTCTTGTAATTTACCTTCATCTGAGAATGTTTTCATTCATGAAAAATATTTTTGTAGGATATAAAATTCTAGGTTGACAGTTCTTTTCTTTCAGTACATTAAAAATTCCATTACTTCCTTCTGGCCTCCAAGATTTCTGATGAGAATTTCACAATTTTTCTTCTCTGGCTGCTCTCAGGAGTCTTTGCTTTGTCCTTCTCTTTATCAGTTTGATTATAATGTATATGAGTGTGGATTTCTTTGAATTTATCCAAATTGGGATTTGCTGAGCTTCTTGAATGTGTAAGTACATCTTTCACCAAATTTGTATAAAATTTTCAACTATTCAAATATTTTTTCTGTTCCACCTCCTTTCACTTCTCCTAAGACTCCAATGATACAAATGTTAAACTTTTTGTATTGTCTCACAGATCTCAGAGATTCTGTTCATTTTTCAGATATTTTCTCTGCTCAGATTGGATAATTTCTATTGATATATTTCAAGTTCACAAGCTCACTGACTCCTCTTTTATCTCTAGTCTGCAGAGTCCATCCAATGAATTTCTTATATTTATCTTTGTATTCTTTATTTCTAAAATGGCCACTTGACTTTTTATTTTTGTCTTCTATTTCCTTCCTGAAAATTTCTTTCCATTTGCTTCCAAAAGTGTTCGTCCTTAACGTGTGGTTATAATAGCTGCTTTAGCATATTTCTCTGGTTACTCTAACATTTGTGTCATGTCATGATTGGTTTCTGTTGATTGTTGAGTCGAGATTTATTCTAGATCTTTGCATGCCAAATAATTTTGAATTTCATCCTTGACATTTTGAACATTGTGTTTGAATCTCTGGGTAACTAAGGGTACTATTGATTTTGGTTGTTTTAGTAGGCAGTCAGTCAGGTTAGGTTCAGGCTGCACACTCTGGTGTTTCTGTGAGCCGTGGCTCTAGTACCAGTTTAGTTTCTAAGTGTTTGCAGTGCTATTTGGATCAGCCCTGCATGTGTACTACCCAGTGGCAAATCTGGGATCTGGGCCGTACTTTACCATACAACTCATTTCTCAAAACTTGTGCTGTGTTATTTATGGTCTGATCCATGCATCTGCAGCTCAGAGGTGAGACCAGTAATTCAGACTTTATGACATAAGTGTCTTCATTTTCCTTCTTTTCACAATTTCCTTGACACTTTTTGGTTTCCTAGGGCCTCCCTTCCTAATCCTTCATCCAGAAAGCTGACGCTTTAGTTTCTCCTCACTGCTGCGGACTTTCTGTGACTGCATCTGTGGCTAAGAGGTGACAAGTCAGAGAGAGAAGAAAAGCAATGGGGATTTGCCTATGTTCTCATGATCATATTCTGGTCAGAGAGAAGGGATCTGCTTACTCTGAACTCTCTGGAGTTTAGATGCCTTTCCAGATGTGGCTGCTGTGGTATTAACTGGCAGCTTGGATGGTAGAGAAGGGAGAAAAATCAAAGAAGGCGAAAAAAGAGAGACATAACATACTCTCTTTCATCTTTAGGAGTCGCATTTCTCACTCTTCAGTTCAGAAAGGGAGGTCGTATGTTTTCTCCTTTTGTGTGCTCTTGGTGCCACTTCTGTGTTTCAAACTGCTTTTGGGTCCAGGACAGATGATAACGTAGGAAAAAGAACTATAAAGTTTTCACCAGTTCTGTAGAATTTAGAATTCGAGTCTGCTTTCCCAGTTCAGTTACTACCATTTACATTTCAGAATCCTTGGGTACATGGCTTCATGCATTCTGTCTACGATTTAAAGTTGCATTCAGTGGAAGAGACAGGTATGTTACTTACTCTGCATCTTTGGAATTGGAAACTCACAGCTTTTTAATTCAAGTAAAAGCACACTACCATTGCCTACAGTATGTCTTAAGAGTTCTTCCCACGTCTCAAAGGTTCCTTTCTTTGGAATTTTATGAAGGTAGTGGAAGGTGTTGTTGGGCTAACTAGACTCATATGCATGGATAAATACAGCTATAGGATAACATAGCAGATTCAGGAATCAATTTCCAATTTTTCTTCACCAAGGAACTAATTATTTGACTGTGGCAAAAAATACTTATTCTGGCTCAGCCTAGAACCTCTATTATGTAACTCACATGTTTTTTGTTCTCAAGTGTTTGCTTCATATGTTAGGACACTCATTATTGTAGTTGTGATCTTTGAGCAATGGACAAAATTGTTACTCTCCAATACGCTTTTGCAAAATGGTGCTTGTATGATGCTGCATCTCTAACCTGAGTGTTTAGGGCATTTATTTGGTGGCAGTGTTCTCCATGGCAGTAGTCCTCAATCTGGGAAATGAAAAGAACTTCCAGGGGAATACAAAGGTACCAATATTCTTTTTAACACTTTTATGAGATACAATTCACATACCATACAATTCACCTAGTTAAAGTGTACCTTTTGGTTGTTTTTGGTATGTTATATTATTTTAAGAAATTATGATAAAATATGCAGAGCAAAATTTGCCATTTTTAAGGGTACAATTCAGTGGCATTAATTACATTAACAGTGGCAACCATTATCATCATCTGTTTCTAAGACTTCTTTGTCACTCCAAATAGAAACTATGTAACTGTTAGGAGAAACTATGTTACTTACTCATTTACAATATGAAAGTCTCCAGTTAATCTACATTTGCCTACACTATAGTTCTTGGTTCTTTAGAAATATACTTTTGTAACTTTTGTCTTATACTTCCTCCCTTGTGGCTTAAAAAAAATTTTTTTTTACCCTGTGTTTTCAATTTATGGGAGTTCATGGCCCTTCTCTTAAGGTTGAGTCCTAAAGATTATCCTTAGAATCTCTTACTAAACTAATATCAACTTTCTAGAATAGAAAAACTAGTTGCTTCAGATTGATCAGAAATCTACTCTTGGCTCAGTCAGAAATGACCAGCTGAGTGGGGACTAGAATCCCACAGTACAGACATGGCTGCTGAGAGTCTGCTGATGTAGACCGTGTCAGGGTCATTCCTGGAAAAGGCAGAATGTTTACTAGCCTGATACACATCCAAGAGGTGCTTTCTACACTGTAGACTAAAGCACTGGAAAAAGTTATGATGTTCTTGTAAACAAGATGGAGAAACATGAACTGAATCCTGGAGAATCGGGTACAATTGTAAGTAATTCAACAACCAGATCCAAGGAGGGTGAACTGATGTTAGCCTGAATGTAGGTCATTAGTGATGAGCTGAAGGGCTTTGCTCACCCTGCCCTGATTTTAGCTTTTCTCTCCTAGAATGCAAGTGAACACATGAACAGAGGCTATGGTCCTTGCTTCCTTGGCGTTATCAGGCCATTAAGAAAATGGTAGTCATTTGTCATTTTGTGGCCACCCTTAACTCCCTTCCTGGTATACTATCCCCCATTCATGATGGGATGGTAAGTCCAGGGGGCTCCCATTGGATCTCCCCTGGGAATGAGTAATGCAAAGATGGGGAAATGGCTGGTATTCACTCATCCCTCCCCTCCCCCTCCCAGCCTTTTCTCTAGTCTCTTCTCCTGAAACCCTCAGTTAGTGAGCATTGTACTTTGGAATTTTATCTGTTCTTTCACATTTTCTCTTTTTATTCTATGCTCTAGGGGACTTCCTCTATTTAACCTTATGATTTGTAAACATTTTATTTCAGCTATCGTATTTTAAATTTTTAGTTGCTTCTCTGATTATTCTTTTTTCAAATCAACCTCCTCTGGTTTTATAAAATCTTTCTTAAATCTCTCTGACTCAAGTTTTCTTCTATTGCCTGATTGTCATTGTTTCCACCAGAATTTGTTTTTCACGTTTCTCTGTCTTGGTCTTTCCTTCTCAAGCTGCTGGATCTGCTAATATCTTCAGGATCTTTGTTGCTTGTCTGGTCATATTTAAGAAAGAAGTTCCGGCAACAAGATGGCGGACGAGAGAGACAGGGAAAGCACAGAAATAGCAGTAGCAGAATTGCACAAAAAAATCAAAGAAGCTTTTGAAGTGTTTGACCAAGAGTCAAATAATACAGTGGATGTGAGAGAGATCGGGACAATTATCAGGTCATTAGGATGCTGCCCTAGTGAAGGAGAGCTACACGATCTGATTGCAGAGGTAGAGGAAGAAGAACCCACTGGATACTTTTGGTATGAAAAATTTCTTCCAGTGATGACTGAAGTTCTACTGGAAAGAAGATACAGACCAATTCCAGAAGATATCCTTCTTCGAGCTTTTGGGGTATTAGATCCAGCTAAACGTGGGTTTCTTTCTAAGGAAGAGCTGATCAAGTATATGACTGAAGAAGGTGAGCCCTTTTCTCAGGAGGAAATGGAAGAAATGTTGTCTGCTGTAATTGATCCAGAATCGAATACAATTCATTACAAGGACTACATAGCAATGATGGTGATAGATGAAAATTAAGCACTAAAGACTTCATTTCTAATTGAAAGGATAATTTTAAAAATTACTTGACCTTGTTAATTTCACATTTTATCTTATAATTCCTATATATGCTGATTAATGCCTTGTGACAACTACTTCAATATATTTTGTTTTTTAAAGATAATCATAACAATTTAAAACAAATTTATTTAGTGTGTTTAGCCTTATGGAATGACAAATTGCTAATTATTTTAAAACTGTTCTTAAAACATTTTAACATTATCCATGGACTGTTGTTAACATTCTCCAATAAAACCCAGATTACTTTCAAATTAAAAAAAAAAAAAAGAAAGAAGTTCCACGTAAAAAGGGTGACATCTCCCCAGTGAGAATTCTGAGTGGGTACTCTGGATGTGAGGAGTTAGGAAGTTGAGTGGGAACTCATTTTTAGGCTGAGCCCACCTGCTGGCCAGAATGAGCAGCTTTTGACTAAAAACATTAGATGCTGCAATACGGATTGTTTAATTTCTTTAAAAGAACTGTCGGGGACTTGTTTGTTTACTTTTGCCTGAGGATAAATGCCAGCTGCCTGTACTTGCTGGGTGTGTGTATGAGGGAAGGACTGGGACTGGAGAGTGGAAGCAGGTGGTAGAGAAATCAGGTGGGTACACTTGATCCGCCGTCAGAGCTTGCCCGGTTCCCCAGGCTGACTGGCAGCCCTCCTCTGCAGCCCTCGTAGTTTGTCTGGGGCCGGCTGTCTAAGGCCTTCTTTATCTGTTAACCCTGTCCCATCAACTTTCTGGCTTCCAGATACATGCTGACTATCTCATTCTCAAGTGACACCCCCTTACTCTGTTCCCATTTGGGTATGGGTTTATTCTTTTTTATCCCCTGGGAGTAGGTAATTAGGTTTATTTCTTTGTGTATTAAAAAAAATTTTTTTTTTGATGGAGTTTCTGAGATTGAACCCAGGACCTCCTGCATGCTAAGCATTCACTCTACCACTGAGCTATACCCTCCCTCGCTCCTTTTTGCACTTCTGTTCCTTTAATACAAAGAGTCAAGGCAGAGCGAGCATGTCTGGTTCATAAAAGTTCAACAACAACAACAACAACATACATTTATTGTTTGTTGTCTTGCAAGTATTATTTCTAGCAAAAGATCTGTAAACTAATGTAATGTTTCCATTAATTAAATAATTTATTTTTTACTATTTAAAAGAGTATACAAGTAATATACAAAAACATGCTTCTCATTAAAGTGCGACTACAAAAGCATGTAGACTATAAAAAGAAATTGGCTTTTCCCTGCTAGTTCTCCTCACGCTATTACTGCTCTTTTCCTGGGAAGTAACTGCTGTTAATAATTGGGTATATATCCTCGACTACTGCGAATGTATTTATATATCTGTGTCTGTCTGGTTATCAGGTTGTTTATCTTTTTTATTTAGATAGGATCGAGTTTCATATGTTGTTTTGTGAATTTTAACTTGGCTGTGGCCTTGGATAGTTTTTCATGGTAGTAGGTGTAGAGCTATCATTCTTTTCCCTACTGGTTGACATGTAAGTAATTTGCAGTTTTTCTTTTTCAAAAAGGCAAAATCTATTTCCTTGCTGTTTCACTGACCTGTAGCATGATTTCCACCCAAACTGAGAAATCCTTGTCGTATCTGTAAAGAATCCCAGTGGATTAAACTGAAAAACCCAGTTGGGTGAACTATAGCAAGTTGAACAGATCATAATATATGATAACATTTAGAAGTGCAGTGCTAAAACCTCTTTATTAAAGTTCATGCTGTCCTATCCCAGCTAATGAATGGAACAGAATCAAATCACATTTATTTTGCTAAGAGTTAAGGAGGAAAACCAGCTTGTATGTCATTTGTCAAACATATTAATAAATGCCCAGGTTTAAAAGTCCTTGTTTTTTGCCTACTGTTCTTTTCCTGCCTATTTTTCTTAGTTTATTCTCCATACTCTAAGCTTCTGATTTATTGGTCGTTCTTTTTGCTATAGGTCTTGAAACTGGAGTAAATTTAATCTCAAAAGAACCATCAGAGTGTTAATTTCCAGATGATCCATACTTACAACAATGTATAGGAACATCTGTTGACAAAAAAAATATATTTTGGGAATATATTTTGGGCATCCAGATCCACACCTGCCCTGGAGAAAGGTCACAGCCTCTACTTCTGAAGAGCAGAAATCCTTCTGCGTGGCCGGTTCTGGCAGGCCTTTGTTATCATTCCATACTGAAAGATTTTGAGAGTTCTACTAAGCTTGGTTAGCACTGACTTCCCTTGGCTCTGTGGCAGAATGACCCTCACCCCCCAGCCACCCCTGTTTTCACATTTCTTCATCTGTAGAAGCCTGGCGTCACTGGCCTCCCTTCTATAAGATCAGATCAGAACTCCAGCATACACTCTGCTTTTAGCAACAAGGGCAGCAGCCACCATTCGCATCACACTAAATTAAGTTTGGGTACTGTTGTATGAGTTTCACATCCGTTACCTTATCTAATGCTCAAAGTAATCCCACACGTTAGGCTTAGAGCGGTTAAGTTACTTGCTTAAGTGAGAAGTAGAGCTGGGCTCCAACCTGGGTCTGCCTAGCACCAAAGCTTGAGCTCTGAACCTCTGTGCTATGTATTCACCACTCAGCCAGGGAACCCTCATGAGTGCAGGAGAAGAGAGGCCTGGAGGCACTACCCACTAGAGGAGTGATGTGGGAGGCCAGATGAAGGCCCCCCAAAAGATACTTACGTCCTCATCCGTGGAACCCATGAATGTTTCATTACATGGCGAAAAAGGACTTTGCAAATGTGATTAAGCTTATCTTGGATTTTCCAGGTGGGCCCTAAATACAGTCACATATGTCATCATAAAAGGGAGGAAGGAGATCTGACACACACACAGAAGAGTTGGTAAGGCATTGTGATCGTGGGGGCAGAGGCTGCAATGATGAGGCCACAGACCAAGGAATGCCAGCTGCTACCCAAAACTGGAAAAGGTAAGGAACGATTTCCCCTGGAGCCTCGGGAGAAAGCACAGCCTGGCTGACACTGTGGTTTGGCCCAGTGATACTGGTTTCAGACTCTGGTCTCCAGAACTGTGAGAGAATAGATTTCTGTTGTTTTAAGCTACTAAGTTTGTGGTAGTGTTACGGCAATCATAGGAAACTAAATATAGTGACTCTGTGACCTCTCTAGGCCCGTTTCCTTATGGGTAAAAGGAGGATATTAATGGTAATACCTAGAGTTTTTAAAAAGTGAATATAAGTGGGGAGGGTATAGCTCAAGTGGTAGAGCACATAGCATACACAAGGTCCTAGGCTCAATCCCCACTACCTCCCTTAAAAATAAATAAAATAAATAAACCTAACTACATCCCCCCTTAAAAAAAAGTGAATGTAAATGAGAGGCAGGGTGCCTGGCACAAGGGAAATGCTGGACAGAGATAATTATTACTCACAGAGTCCGACAGAAGTCCGGATCGTGTGCTTTGGGAGCACGTGGGAAGGGAGGGCAGCTAACCCCGCCTCTAGTTCACATTATGCACATGATCACCCAGTAAGGATAACAAGGCCTTTTAGAAGCAAAGAAATTGAAATCAATTAAAAATAACAGTGTACAGCATTTCTTGAAATGGCAGAGAGTTCACACACACACAAAATCTCCACCTCCAGTTTCTAAAAGTGACTGCAACCATCGGAGAAACACTTTTCAGTGGTAACTCTTATTACCTGGTGGATGTCCCAGCAACTTTTTTTTTTTCCTGGAGGTGATTCTGAACGGTCATTCCAGGACACATTCATTAATGAATCATAAAAATAAACACTGCAAATGGAAACTGGAAGTGTAAATTCAGTTGCCTATCAGGAATGTAATCAGTGACCATCACACTTTGCTCTATTGTCCATAGAAATGAGCAGAGGGAGGGCTGGAGGGAGGGCTGGACGGGTCTGGGGGCCTGGGTCCCAGGCAGGTAAGGATTATTTCTGCCAGAGGGCTGGACTGGAGCCGAGCCAGAGAGTGTGCCTTTGAACTGTTCCGTTTGTTCACCTGGCTCTTGGAGAGACGTCACTGCCTTCGTTATGGGTCGCTCTGGGCTAGTAATGGGGGAGTTAGCAGCGTGGCCTGGAGTGGCTCTCAGCAGGCTGGTGCCAGCTGACACACGCCACTTAGGTTTCCAAGGAGCCAAGCTGTCTCCACTCACGCATGGCTGATGCACTTGTGGCTAAATGCGGTGCAGCCAGGGCCCCAGGCCAGATTCAGGGCAGGAAATAGAATGCCACCTCCATCACCAGGGAAACAATGGCCTGTGTGCATGATTTAAACCGAGGCCGAGAAAGCTCAAAGGCACGGTCAGCAGAGGAAGGGAGGAAGGGAGACCAGAGAGTGGTTTGCATGGATTTTGTCTTGGGTTATTACCGTTGACAAGCCACTTAGCTGCCCCTGTGTTTAAGTTTATCTGCGAATAAGATGGAGGTAACAATATTTACGCATCTCACTGGGGACTTATGAAAACAGCATTTCTGACAGACCACTCAGGATCCATGGATGAAAGGTGGTATGTAAGTGCAGATGATAAACTTACTGTGTGTGGCTGTTTTCAGCACGTGCATTAGGGACATGTAGGCCTTCTGGAAAACACATTTATTTAGCATCTGATTAAAAAAATGGTAATAAATAACTAACAATTTTAAGTGCATGGATTTGTCTTTGGTTTTGCACAGGTTTAGGGGAACTGCATGTATAATTCAGACTTCAGAACTGTTTTCAAACATTGCTGTGATTAGTAATCCTTATGAGTGCTTAAAATCATCTGAGAATGCCATAGGTGCTGATTGCTTCCAAATATTTGCCAACTTTGCTGTAAAATACTCCCAAATTAATCTACCTCGTAGTTTATGAGTTGCACATGGAGTCTTGAAATTTGTTCCCAAGTCGAAAGGGGCAAAAACCTATTTAAAAAGCAAAGTGCAAAAAGGAATTGTTGCTCTGTCCCCCGGGGGTTTACTATCTGAGGAGTCCTCTGAGTTACATATACGTGTGTTCTGTTCATTTAAGGCTAAGCAGTTGGCCTCAGACCTCCCTATAAGGTTGTTAAATGTTGTTTTCTGTCATCTGGGTGCCTGAGGGAGTCTCTCTCTCTCTGTTCTTGGTTAATTAAACCTCTCTCTGGTGTATATTGTCTGTCTAGAATAATTCCTGTGGGTCCAGGTGAATGGTGACTATTATAGAAAAACAAACTTGTTTAATAACACAAATAACACACTTAAAATTAGAATAATTATATAAATGAAATATAGAAAATATAGATCACTTGCAATTCTCTCATGCAGAATTAGCCGTTACTAGTATATATGTATATTAGACGAAGGTGGGATTCTAATGTATGCACCTGCTGGTTTGCGACTTGCTCTGGGGTAGGTCTTCACCTCTTGGATCTGGGAGGAACATCACAGATGCTCAGAGCCTGGGCCACAGAGGGAAGGGGTCCTGCTTCTGTGGCAGGCTTGCAGGGTGGTGGAATGAGGGCCTTGGAACCTCAGTCGCACTTGCAAAAGAACTTTCAAAGGCTTCTCTCGGATGTCACTCCGCTTCCTTAGTGCTCCTGTGTTTTGACAACAGCATACATCCCAGAACTGGTAAACACTTGCTGATTTGAGCTTCTGTGGGGATGATGATCACCTTCCCTCCCAATCCATTTGCACCCTGCTGTCAAGTCCATCCATTCCCCTTCTCCCTTTACTCATACTAACAGAACTTGATTAAGGCATAGTTTACATGCAGCGCAGTGCACAAATCTTCCAGCCTATTGAGTTCAATGCTGCCAACCTGGATTATGAGTGTACCAATGTAACCACCAACCAGGGTACAAAATATCTCCAACATTCCAAAAGTGGCTTTGTGTTCCCTCTGCGTCAATCCCCTACCCCTAGGTAATCATTCCATCCATTCTTAGGTACTAATTTTATCATGTTATTTCCCACTTTCCATAGGATTATTGTCCCTGTATCTTGCTGCTTCGAGTCTAAATGTCTCTTCCTGATTTTCCAGGTCCACTTTCTTAAGGGTCCTACCGGCTGAATGATTTGGGCCTCCACTGACGCCTCCTGGCTGGAGGCCAGTCCTGCCAGCTCCACCTGGAGCTTTGTTCATGAGGGCACCCTCACTCAAACTCCTCACTCAAACTGCCCTTTCCTTGGCCTCCTGAATCTCACCATCCTTTAAGGCTCAGTTCAAGTCCTGTTCCCTCCAAGAAGTCCTCTCACTTTGGCAAAATTTTTTCCAGTTTCTTTACTTCCCTCTTACACCCTTAACATGTGTTAGCTGACATCATGTGACTGACCTGCTGCAAAGATGTGGAGCCGTGGAAGTGGAAGGCAGGCCACTACGCCATTCCTGCTTCTCATTTCGCTGATCGTTCACATGCTGAATCCACAGTTTCCAAACCCTCCTTGCTTTTCTCACCCGTTCTCTTGCATCATGGGGCAGGTCTCCTGCTCCCCAACCCCAGACCCTGCTCCCTATCTCTTCCCCTCTTTCCTTCCCCACTCTTGGTGCTTTGTTACCCAGATCACCAAATTCTCTCCTCCAGACCACAGGTTCTACCCATTCTACAGATTTGACACCCAAAATCCTGAGACCAGCCTCTCCTCAGAGGGTAGGGATTGAGGGGGAGAATTTGGGCAGATGAAGCTGGAATTCTTTCTATCGGATACAGGATGGCTGGAAACACTGCTACATCATATAATTTTGCCCCATCCCACCCACATCCTTCGTGCCCAGGAGTTAGTGACTGTCCCACTTTGTCTGATGTTCCAGTATGTTAACCTTGCTCCCATCCAGACTTTCTGAGTCCCCCTGCCACAAACAGAGCTCTGAGCTCATAAGACTCAGCACAATCAAGGGGTTTAAATAAGATACTGCAACTAAAGTGCTTAGCGCAGGTCTGCCTGTGATCAGGCTCAGAAAAGTGAGCTAATGTCAAAAGCCCCTTCTCTGATTCCTGTCAGTCAGGCCAGGTGAGTTGAGGTCCCAAAGTGATTGTGATTGTGCACGTGCATGTGTGTGTGTGTGTCTGTGGTCAGAAACCCTACCTACTGCAGCGAACACAGGTCCTGGAGCCAAGGCGCAGCTCTGTGCTGACTCTCCTGGGGAGACCCAATCTCTTCATGAGTAAAATAGGAGTCAATCCATCCACCTCAGGTGACCGTACACGTGAGCACGTGTCAAAGCACTTTGCAGGCAGGGACGCAATACCCGTGTGGGCTGTGACAAGGGCAGGCAACACAGGGTGTTGGCATGAAACTGGCTGGCCTAGTTCCAATCTGCAAATATAATTGTGTTTCTGAATTGGCAGTTGGCAAATGCAGCCCCCCAGAGACAAAGTCAGGTTCTAGACAAGATGTTTCAGTTAGACTCCCTTCAGCTGTAAGCAGACTCAGGAGTCTGGCTGCTTACATTTTCACACGGTCTTGCACTGACTTTGGAAAATGGCTTCAGCATTCCAAGCCTCAGCTTACTGGTTTGTGAAATGGGGATGATGGTCTCTTCCTCTTAGAATTCTTGTGAGGGCAAAGGTAATTTATGTAAAGATATAGCACACTGCCTGACACATAGAAGTGCTCGATAAATACTAGTGCTATAATTATTACCTAATAAGCGTTACTCTGTAAATGTTGAATGACTGAATAACTGCAGGGCTGGCTTTGGCTCCTGGAAGTGCTTTATGTTCTTCTCTGGTATTTTCAGGCTGATTCCATCTGACCTTGCTTGGCAGGGGACAGTTTGGACTAGGTGTGTGGGAAAGGAATTGACAAATTAAAAAGACTTCAACCAGGGGTAGGAATGCTGACTGCAGCAGACAGTGATGTCCTGGGAGCAAACCTGCCAGCCACCTGAGAGCTAGCAGGGAACTTCCCCAAGCCCAGGCCAGGTTTCCATGCAGCTGTCATTTCCCTCTGCTTCTTCAGAGAGGCCAGCTTGACTTTGGTTATATTCCCAAGCACAGTTCCTGGATTCATCCTGGCAGGACTATGGCTATCTTTCTGGGTAGCCAGAGGAGACAAGCTGTCGACATTTTTCTATGAAAGAATAAGCAGCCAATGCAGTATCTGGGGGGGGGGTCCCTGATCCGTGGGCCCCTCCTCATCTCAGACAACTATCAGAGCTGAGCCTGTGGGCAGAGGCCAGTTTCACTATACATATACTCACGCACACACACACACACACACACACACCACCCTTCTCAAGCCCACAGGGCAGGGTGGAGAGTTCCATGGCCACTCTGAAGGCAACCATTCTGCTATCTGGTCCTGTCTTTGCCTCTGACTTCCTGTGTGACCTTCAGAAGGTCCTTCCTCTCTCTGGGTCTCAGATTCTCCATCTACAAAATGAGGGAGTTGGTCCTTATAGCCTCTGAGGTCCTTCCTGTCTCTAAAAGTGGCAGAATGGCCTGAGTGATCAACCTGGGTTAGAATTCTGGCTGTGTGGCCTTGGGTAAGCCATTTAAGTTCTCTAGATTAATTCCCTCTATAAAACAGGGATGATAAAGAGTCATCTACCCTAGAGGTTTATAGCAAGGTTTAAATAAGACATTTGCACCTAAAGTGCTTAGCACAGGGTCCGCCCATGGTCAAGTTCAGAAAAGTAAGCTAATATCAAAAGTCTGCAGCTCCTTCTCTGGTTCCTGTCAGCCAGGCCAGGTGAGTTGGGGTCCTGGAGAGATAGGTGTGTGTATCTGTCTGTCTGTGGACAAGTGCCAGTGTGTGTGGAGGGCTTGGCCTCCTTCCTTGGGAAGATCTGTCCAGGGAGCCTCCCTGAGGGCAAGAGCTGAGTTGGAGCTGGCATCTCACTCGTTTGAAGCCGCAGGTCACCGTCGTCTCCCTCTTTGCAGCATGCCCCAGTCTTTAGTTGTTGCTTCCTGAGTGGTTTTACTTGAAGAGGCAATAGCTGGTCCCTCCCACCTGGCGATCAGTAACCAGGTTCGCAGCCAGGATGCCAGCAGCCCCAGTGAATAAGAATTCTGGGGCTGCTCAGGGCTTTGCTCTGTCCCGCAGGACTTCCTGAGGGCAAGGAGTCCCAGCTCATCTCCTGGGCCCCTGCGTCAGGATGCTGGGTTTGAGAATCTGTCAGCTCTGTCCTGGGACTCCCTCCCTTCTTTCCTCTCTCCTTGGACCACACGGTGTTTGTTTCACACTGGACACTCCGCTAAGTGATGCAGGAAGTAGGCCCCTGGGGAGGCAGATATGGCCCAGCAAAGCAGATAACCAAGTGAAGCCTCTGGATGCCTCTGGGGCCCAGGGAAGGCTCAGAGATAAGCGGAAATGCCAGGCTTATCGCTGCAGCCTGAGTTCTAGAGAAGCCATCCTGGCCGGCCAGCTCACCTCTTTCCCAGTGCTCCGGGCGGTTGGGCATCTCCAGGCAGAGCAAACACTGGGTTGGCACGGCCACAGCAGCGGGATGGGGACTCTGGGCCCCACTCCGGCACTTCACAGTCCCAGCGCCAGAGGCCAGCCGCGGGCGTCGGATTACACCCAGATATTTGCGGTAAGCAGGCCG